GCGTGACAGCACCCTCCATGTCCGGAACCGAGATGCCGAAGATGGAAAAAGCCTATATATACCTCTATCTATGCACAGTTGCCTGTCCTGTCATTGTATAATGCTGTATATGTGTTCTATGATCTGTTCTGAGTCCCCCTTCGAGGTGAGAAGGGCGGAATATATTGCAAATAAGTAAATAACTAAATGCTAGCATGCTCCAGCCTAGAATTTGGAAGCAATCATGCTCGTCGTTTTATCCAGCTGCAATTTTTCCTGAAATAATAATGTACGTATATATAAGAAAGTATGTATGTTTGTATGTTCTGCAGAGACTACTGCCTGGCTTGATGGATCTGGACCAAACATGGTACATATATCCTTCATTATCCAACCTAAAATACTGCTGGGATTTCAACAAAAATAATCAGCCCCATTATAGACCAGAGCCCCAAACACAAAAACAAAAAAAGTCTGTATGCAGCACTCGGATGCAACCACAAGAGGGCAATAGATTGCTAGAAAGGCAACCTCAAAGAGAGGCATAAAAATATTGTATATATGTTTGTTCTGCAAAGGCTCTGGCATGGCTTGATGGATTGGGGCCAAACTTGGTACACGAACTCTTCATTATGCAAGTTACAAAACCTTTGGGGTTTAAACTGAAAAAAAATCTGCCCTTTTTCGTGATAGGCCCCCCTCCCCAAAAAATGTATGTATGTAGTGTTCAGATGCAACCACAAGAGGGCATTATATTGATAGAAAGGCTACTTCAGAGCGAGAGATGACAAATGGAAGAGGGCTAGAACTTTGTATATAAGTTTGTTCCGCAATGGCTCTAGCATGGCTTGATTAATTGGGGCCAAACTTGGAACCCAAACTCTTCATTATGCAACTTAAAATACTGGTGGGTTTCAAGTGAAAAATAATCTACCCTTTTTCATGGAAAGGGCTCCCAAAACAAAAAAAGTCAGTATGCAGCACTCAGATGCAACCACAAGAGGGCAATGTTTAGTAGAAAGGTTACCTCAGAGGGAGAGACGACAAATGGAAGAGAGCTAAAACATTGTACATATGTTTGTTCCGCAAAGGCTCTGGCATGGCTTGATGGATTGGGGCTGAACTTGATACACAAACTTTTCATTATGCAAGGTAAAAAACTGGTAGGGTTTCAACTGAAAAAAATCTGTCCTTTTTGTGGATTGTTGTTGTTTATTCGTTCGGTTGCTTCAGACTCTTCGTGACTTCATGGACCAGCCCATATTATGCCCAACTCCTTCAAGGTTAAGCCAGTCACTTCAAGGATAACATCCATCCATCTTGCCCTTGGTCAGCCCCTCTTTCTTTTATCTTCCATTTGCATAGGGCCCCCAAAATAAAAAAAATACATATGTATGTAGTGCTCAGATGCAACCACAAGAGGGCTCTAGGTAGATAGACAGACAGACAGACAGATAGATAGATGGAAAGGCTACCTCAGAGGGAGAGATGACGAATGGAAGAGGGCTAGAACTTTGTATATAAGTTTGTTCCGCAAAGGTTCTAGCATAGCTTGACGGATTGGGGCCAAACTTGGTACACAAACTCTTCATTATGCAACTTAAAATGCTGGTGGGGTTTTAACTGAAAAAAATTTGCCTTTTTTCAAGGAACGGGCTCCCAAAACAAAAAATAAATGCCTTTATGCAGCACTCAGGTGCAACCACAAGAGGGCAATGTTTAGGTAGAAAGGCTACCTTAGAGGGAGATATGACAAATGGAAGAGGGCCAGAACTTTGTATATAAGTTTGTTCCACAAAGGCTTTAGCATAGCTTGATGGATTGGGGCCAAACTTGGTACACAAACTCTTCATTATGCAACTTAAAAATGCTGGTGGGGTTTCAACTGAAAAAATTCTGCCTTTTTCATGGAAAGGGCTCCCAAAACAAACAAAAAATGCCTTTATGCAGCACTCAAATGCAACCACAAGAGGGCAATGTTTAGGTAGAAAGGTTACCTCAGAGGGAGAGATGACAAATGGAAGAGGGCTAAAACATTGTATATATGTTTGTCCCGCAAAGGCTCTGGCATGGCTTGATGGATTGCGGCTGAACTTGATACACAAACTTTTCGTTATGCAAAGTAAAAAACTGGTAGGGTTTCAACTGAAAAAAAAATCCTTCAGATGACAAAACGGAGATAATATTTCAGTTCTGAACACAATCCTATATTCCGAGAAGTGCAATACTTTTCAACAGTCGAGGAAAAAAGAAGGAAAAGGAAAACAAATGAACGATGCTGGGCAGAAAATATTTCAGAGCAAAATTTCCGATTTCTCTCTATGGGCGCAAAAGTAAACACAGTGGGAAGAACATCAACTCATTTGAAATGTGGCGCCAGAGGAGAGATCCACGAATATTGTGGACTGAGAAATGGAGAAATAAAATTGAGCATCACTTCAGAATCACATTGCACAATCTTTCAAATAATAATAATAACAATAATAATAATAGTAATTTTCAACCACTAACACGAGGCTCTGCCTCTAACCTTTCCTTCCTCTTTACTCAATCCTCCCCATAGCTGACCAGAGCTAAGTAAATCATTAAAATATATAGATAAGGGAAAATTCCAAATAATCTGCATTCAACAGCAAGGGAAACTGGGAATCATACTCGAGAATAGACAGCTCTGTTTGGAAGCAAATTGTATGAAGAACCCCATCCTGGTTGGGTAGTTCTTTTTCGTTATCTCTTTATAATCGAACTATCAAAGTCTTCAAACTTTCTAACTTGGGGGCCACATACTTGACCTCCCTGCTCAGAGGATGGAAGGAAGGAAAGGAGGGAGGGAAGAGAGAAGGGAGGAAGGACGAAAGGAAAGGAAGGAAGGATAAAAGAAAGAGAGATGGAAGGAAAGACCAAAGGGAAAAAAGGAAGGATGAAAGTGTGGAAGGGAAGGATGGATGGAAGGGAGGGAGGGAGGGAAGGACGGGTGGAAGGAGAAAGAGGGAGAGAAGGAAGGAGGGAGGAAAGAGGGAAGGAAGGAAAAACAAAAGAAAAGGAAGGAAGGATAAAAGAAAGAGAGATGGAAGGAAAGGCCAAAGGGAAAAAGGAAGGATGAAAGTGTGGAAGGGAAGGATGGATGGATGGATGAATGGGAGGGAGGGAGAGAGGGAGGGAAGGACGGGTGGAAGGAGAAAGAGGGAGAGAGGGAAGGAGGGAGAAAAAGAGGGAGGGAAGGAAAGACAAAAGGAAAGGAAGGAAGCATAAAGGAAAGAAGAAGAAAGAAGACAAAAGAGAGGGAGGGAGGGAGGGAAGGAAGGAGAAAGGAAGGAAGGAAGAGGGAAGGGAGGAGAAAGAAGGAGAGAGGGAAGAGAGGGAGGAAAGAGGGAAGGAAGGAAAGACAAAAGGAAAGGAAAGAATAAGGAAGCATAAAGGAAAGAGAGAAGAAGAAAAAAGGGAGGAAGAAGAAGGAAAGAGGGAAGGGAAGGATTGAAGGAAGGGAGGGAGGAGGGAGGGAGAAGGAAAGAGAGAAGGAGAAAGGAAGGAAAGGAAGGAGAAGGAGAAAGAAGAGAGGGAAGGAAGAGAGGAAAGAGGGAGGAAGGAAAACAAAAGAAGGAAGGGAAAGGAAGGAGAGAAGGAAGGAAGAAAGGGAAGGAACGAAGGAAGGAAGGAAGGAAGGAGGAAGAAGGAAGGAAGGAAGGAAGGAAGGAAGGAGGAGGCAGGAGAGGCAGGCAGGCAGGAAGGAAGGAAGGAAGGAAGGGAAGGAAGGAAGGAAGGGAAGGAAGGAAGGAAGGAAGGAAGGAAGGAAGGAAGGAAGGAAAAGAGAAGGAAGTAAGCATGAAAGGGAGGAAGGAGAAAGAGGGAGTGAGGGGAGGAGGAATGAGGGAAGGAATGAAAGACAAAAGGAAAGGAAGGAAGGATAAAGAAAAGAGAAGGAATGAAAGACAAAAGGAAAGGAAGGAAGGATAAAGGAAAGAGAAGGAAGGAAAGACAAAAGGGAAGGAAGGCAGGATGAAAGGGTGGAAGGGAAGGAAGGATGGTAGGAGAAAGAGGGAGTGAGGGAAGGAAAGAGGAAAGAGGGAATGAAGACAAAAGAAAAGGAAGGAAGGATAAAGAAAAGAGAGAAGGAAGGAAAGACAAAAGGAAGGAAGGAAGGAAGGAAGGAAGGAAGGAAGGAAGGAAGGAAGGAAGGAGGAAAGAGAGGGAAGGGAAGGATGGAAGGAAAGAAGGGAAGGAGGAAGGAAGGAAAAAGAGGCTATGGGATCCTGGGAGTTGTAGTTTAGTGAGGCACCAGCAGTCTCTGGCAGAGAAGGCTGAACACCTTGTAAAACTACAGCTCCTGTGACAGAACTGTCCTTATTAATATAAGGGAAGGAGAAGGATGTGGAAAAGAAGAGAATGGGAGAAAAAGGAGGAGGAGGTGGAAGAGGAAGAAATCCAAAACAAAAGAGATGTTTTCCTCTGGCTGGAAGTCTTGAAAACTGGAGAACTGTGTGTTGTTTCCTATTTTTCTTCTTTTCTCTTTTACTTCTCTCTCTCTCGCTCTCTCTTTCTCTGTCTTTCTATTTTTGTTGTTAATTTGTTCAGTCGTTTCCAACTTTTTGTGTCTTTCTCTAGTTCTATATAAAATACGATTCCTTGCACAAGACAAGGAGGACACAGTATCATTGCACTGGGGGGGGGGGGGGGGGGGGTGCCACGGGTAACGAAGCACAATTAAAGATGTGAGGAGAACACCAACCAATCACTTTCAGAAAATCAAGGCTAGAAAATGGAGGGGGAGAGAAATCCCGCTGTTTTTCCGATCTCGAACATCCCGGAATTCCTCTCCACGGTTTGCTTGCACAACACAAATCGAGAGCCGGGGAAGGCGTGACATGCAAAGGACAGTCAGAGTAGTTCTCTTTTCATCTCTCTTTCTAAAAAATTGTCCGACGTCAATTCGTCAACGCGGGGGGGGGGGGGGGGGAAGGGGGGGGGAAAGATCTGCACACGCAAACAGTCAACGGCGAAAACTAGAAACACCGGAGGAGGTCTCTGAAGGAGCACTTCCGTTCACATAATGTCCACAAAGAACTCGCAAGGGTTGCCCATGGCCTTCTGGAACGACTGGCGGCTCCCCGTCAGTTCGGGAGGGACGGAGCCCAGCTCTCGCACAGGGGGTCCCCCGGGGGGTCCGCTGGTCCCGTAGGCGCTGGAGCTCGCCTTCGGGAAGCTGTAGAGCGGGGGCAGGCCGGGCGGCCCGTACGAGTGGTGGCTGCGGGGGCTCCTCTCGCTGTTCACGGAGGTGTGGCTGCGGTGGCTGAGCTGGCTGGCGGGCCGCTCCCTCCGCCCGAGGCTGCCCCCGCCCGTGCTCCGGGTGGCGGGTTCCGATTCACTGCCGCTGCCGGCCGACTTGCGGTCCTTCTCCCGGTTCAGAGCCCTCCGGCTGTTCTCGCTGTTGCTTCGGTTGGAGCCGCTGCTTTTGCTTCCTGGGTAGGGGAAGCGGGTTGGGACAGGGGAGAGGGAAAGGAGAAGTCCGTTAAAGTGGGTTACGTTCACCACCCTATATTGAGGACTATATTGGCACTGCTATCAGTGTGAGGCCTCAGTGGGAGAAAGGCCTCAGTGTGAGAGAGCCCTCGGTCTGAGAGAAGCCTCTGTGGGAGAAAGGCCTCAGTGTGAGAGAGCCCTCGGCCTGAGAGAAGCCTCAGTGGGTGAAAGACCTCAGTGTGAGAGAGCCATCAGCCAGAGAGAAGCCTCAGTGGGTGAAAGGCCTCAGTGTGAGAGAGCCCTCAGCCTGAGAGAAGCCTCAGTGGGTGAAAGGCCTCAGTCTGAGAGAGCCCTATATTGAGGACCTGCTGCAGTTGAGATTAGGATGTGCTCATGCTGCTATGCCTTATTGGCACTGCTGTCAGTGTGAGGCCTCCGTAGGAGAAAGGTCTCAGTGTGAGAGAGCCCTCAGTCTGAGAGAAGCCTCTGTGGGAGAAAAGCCTCAGTGTGAGAGAGCCCTCAGTCTGAGAGAAGCCTCAGTGGGTGAAAGGCCTCAGTCTGAGAGAGCCCTATATTGAGGACCTGCCGCAATTGAGATTAGGATGTGCTCATGCTGCTATGCCTTATTGGCACTGCTATCAATGTGAGACCTCTGTGGGAGAAAGGCCTCAGTGTGAGAGAGCCCTCAGTCTGAGAGAAGCCTCTGTGGGAGAAAGGCTTCAGTGTGAGAGAGCCCTCAGTCTGAGAGAGCCCTCAGTGTGAGGCCGCAGTGGGAGAAAGGCCTCAGTGGGAAAATGGCCTTAGTCTGAGAAAGCCCTCAGTCTGAGAGAAGCCTCTGTGGGAGAAAGGCCTCGAAGTGAGGTAACCCTCAGTGTGAGTAGGTCTGGTGTGAGATAGTTCCGTGTGAGAAGGTCTCAGAGCATGAAGGCTGTTGTGTGTAAAAAGCAATTGTGTGAAGCTCCTGTGTAAATTTGGTGTGAGAGGAGGTTTTGTTTATCTGCATGAGAAAGAAGTCCAGGGTAGAAGCAAAGAAGAAAGTATAAAGTACTTTATTTGTATTGTGGAAACCTTGTTTTTGTAAATAGTGCAACTGCGTTGTTTTACTACAAAGAAAAGCCTCCAACCAGTGGAGAATCATGGGATACTATTTTAATTGTTGTACGATTTTCTCAGCAGTGTTTCCTCCCACGCCCTTTGGGAAAACACTACATACTAAATGGTACAATCCAACGCTGACACTTGCATGCTACGGATGGCAACAGGATCGGCGCGGGGATCATTACAAGGACAAATGTGAATGAGGATGTATCATGCATGGATGCCTGTTAGACCCCTCTTGGGGTTGCGAACCCCAGGTTGAGAACCACTGAGCTAGATGATCATGCTATGGACCAGTAATACTTTTTTGTATTTATTGGAGAAGTGAAACGCTTACCGATCCCAGCCATTCCTTTATGAATCCTTCAGTCTAAGGCTTGCTCAGGACAAAACAAGGGAATAACAACAGTTACATAAAGCTTCCCCACCGGGAGAAACGACACAGCAGCAACCAAACAACAGTGACACACTTTAGCCAGAACAGACGTGAAAGGAAAAACAGCAAATGGCACATCACGCTCATCGCGCCCTCATTCCCAGACGGCGCCAATGTGGCACTTAGAGTCCTTGTTTCGCCGGGGGTTCATCATACCATGTTACAAGCACTGATCACATACTTGGCCAGATAACTACAGAGGTCATAGTAAAAGTATAAATATATTTTTACTTCTTGTATGATGTGATTCTTTTGGGTTTGTGACTATACTTATTGCGGGGATTACATTCCAGGACCTCCTGCAATAAGTGAAAAACCGCGATGTAGGGACGCTCTATTTATTTTAATATTTATACATTATTTTAGTAGTTATACGCTATTTTAAGTTTTTATAAACTTAAAATAAAGTGAAGGAAAGGAAAGGAAGAAATGGCCCTTCAAGGCTGGAGGGAGGACTGAGGAGGGAAAGCGCCTCAGAGAGCGGCGGAGGCGAAAACCCGCGAAACAGCGAATATACTTCAAATTAATATTTTTTGAAAACCGCGAAACAGCGAGTCCGCTAAAAGTGAACCACAAAGTAGTGAGGGAACACTGTAAATATATTTTTACTTCTTGTTGGATGTGATTCTTTTGGATTTGGGACTACACTAATTGCGTGGATTACGTTCCAGGACCTCCCGCAATAAGTGAAAAACCACGATGTAGGGACGCTCTATTTATTTTAATATTTATACATTATTTTAGTAGCTATATGCTATTTTAAGTCTTTATAAACTTAAAATAAAGTGAAGGGAAGGAGGGTAAGGCTCTTCAAGGCAGGAGGGAGGGAGGACTGAGGAGGGAAAGCGCCTCAGAGAGTGGTGGCAGTGAAAACCCGCAAAGCAGCAAATATACCGCGATATAAATTTTAAATTAATATTGTTTGAAAACCGCGAAACAGCAAGTCCGCTAAAAGTGAACCGCAAAGTAGTGAGGGAACACTGTAAATATATTTTTATTTCTTGTTGGATGTGATTCTTTTGGATTTGGGACTACACTTATTGTGGGGATTACATTCCAGGACCTCCCGCAATAAGTGAAAAACCGCGATGTAGGGACGCTCTATTTATTTTAATATTTATGCATTATTTTAGTAGTTATACAATATTTTACCGCAATATAAATTTTAAATTAATATTTTTTGAAAACCACGAAACAGCGAGTCCGCTAAAAGCGAACAGCAAAGTAGTGAGAGAACACTGTAAATATATTTTTACGTCTTGTTGGATGTGGGTCTTTTGGGTTTGGAACTACTGTATCTCTTTTAACTTTTGCAGTCTGGGAAAACGATGGGAAATTAATATTATCAACAATAGCAATAACTTGTCGGTCAATGAAGGTTATGATGAGCCAAGTATGGAAAAAAAGAAACATGGAACACGTCAATCCATGCAGGCCATTGGGGGAAAATGAGCAATAGCCAGCCTTCTTTGGGCAGCAGAAGCAAATCAGTTCCAACACATGAGAAGAGAAACAAAACAACAGTTGGCTGGGCAAGACAGAATTAAGCGAATGGTTGGAGGGAAATGGGAAGAACGGGGAAATGTAGAGCATACCTTCACTCTGTTGGCTTCCTGCACTGCCACTTCCATAACTGAATCCAGGGTCCTGATAAGCTGGTGGGAAACATGGGGCGGCCAGTGGGTACTGGTATGGATAGGCTTGCCCCAGTGGCCACGGTGCGGCCGAATGTGGGAGCGGACCAAGCGTGTCTTGGTCCGAAGCTCCACTGGAGCCATTGTTAAGGTTGAGCGCGGCCAGATCTGGAAGGGAAGGTGGAGAGAGCATTCAGAAGGGCAAAACGCAATGTCCAACATTTGCTTCAATGTCCAACATTTCAGGGCTGGGAAACATTCAGTTCTCAAAACCTAAGGGATCGGCCACAACATCAGGCCACTTTGTGTCAAGAGAGACCAGGGTTAGTGGCAATATATACAAATATACAATCACAACTGACAGATCCTCATTCCTTGTACTTGCAAACAATCAGAGTCATCAAATCGTTACATGCAACACATGCAGATACTCATACTGAGTCACATAGGAGAGAGGAAGATGGATTCCATGGTATACGATTTCTGGATCATGGGATTTTTAATATTTATACTAGGATGATTTTATGCTTCATCTGAATGTTTAAATTTTATGTACTACTAGCTTGGGGACCCGGCGCTGCCAACCTTGTGTGCCAAGGTTGGTCTTTATCAGTTATTTATGTAGCTCGCAGTGCTCTCAGGAAATTAGTGAAGGTAATGCAAGTCCCATCGCCCATAGTCCATAGTCCTCAAACAGCCCAGGATGTAGAGTGGGACATGGGGGGCTCTGTGTGCCAAGTTTGTTCTTGATCAGTCATTGGATGAGGGTTGCAGTGGTCTTGGGAAGTGAGTGAAGGTACTTCAAGTCCCATCATCCGTGGTCCATCCTCCTACAAACTGCACCAGGATGTGGAGTGGGTCATAAGGCCTCTGTGTGCCAAGTTTGGTCTTTATTGGTCTTTGTTGGGGCCGTAGTATGTGGGAACCGAGGGGTGGGAAAGTACTACAAATCCCATCATCCGTTGTCCATCCTCCCCCAAACCTCACCAGGACGTAAAGGGGGTCATGGCGGTTATGTGTGCCAAGTTTGATCCAGGTCTGTCACCCATGCTGGTCACAGTGGCCTGTGAAAGTGGTAGCCAATCAGAAAGCTGCCACATACACCGTCCTCCCTCCGCATACAAACACTGACTTTGATTATTTACATAGATAGATGTCTTATGTTTAATGGTTTTAATAGATTTTAAGTTCATAGTTATTCGTAGTAATTAGTTAATATGATTTCTTTGAGTACTGTATGTTGGCATTGAATTTTTGCCATTAGTATGTTATAAATAAATAAACAATAATAAATAAATAAACAATAAATAATAAATACAGATAAATAAATAATTAATAAAAGTAGTATATAAATACACAATAAATAAATAAATAAATGGGTCAAAAGAGGTCTTACTGCCACACAGATCTCCAAAGACGTAGTAGCATTGCTCCGAGAAAGTGATTTTGTTCACAGTGTGCCTGAGGTAGCCATGTTTTAACATGCTGCTGGCATACTTCCGGGCTTCCCTTCGGTCTTTGAAGCCCTCCACGTGCGTATAAAGCCAGTCCACCACGTCTGCGCCTGCAAGTGGAAAGACGGCAAATATTTGAATGCAACAATTAACAAATATTTCAGGGGAAAATGCTTTGATAAGATGAATGGGTATTCCTGACTTGCAAGGGCTCCTCTCCCCCTCCTTTCCCTTTTCAAAACCTTCCAGCCTGGGAGGAGAAGAAGAGCAGAAGCAGAAAAGGAAACATACTGTTTAGGGAGGGGAAGAGGAGAGAGAAATCGATCATATACTGCAAGGGCTCCTCTCCCCCTCCTTTCCCTTTTCAAAACATCCCAGCCTGGAAGGAGAAGAAGAGCAGAAGCAGAAAAGGAAACACAATATTTAGGGAAGGGAAGAGGAGAGAGAAATAGATCATGCCTTGCAAGGGCTCCTCTCCCCCTCCTTTCCCTTTTCAAAACCTTCCAGCCTGGGAGGAGAAGAAGAGCAGAAGCAGAAAAGGAAACATACTGTTTAGGGAGGGGAAGAGGAGAGAGAAATCGATCATATACTGCAAGGGCTTCTCTCCCCCTCCTTTCCCTTTCAAAACATTCCAGCCTGGGAGGAGAAGCAGAGCAGGAGCCGAAAAGAAAACACACTCTTTAGGGAGGGGAAGAGGAGACGGAAAGAGATCATACATTGCAAGGGCTTCTCTCTCCCTCCTTTCCCTTTTCAAAACATCCCAGCCTGGGAGGAGAAGCAGAGCAGAAGCAGGATTGAAAACACACTGTTTAGGGAGGGGAAGAGGAGAGAGGAATATATCATATATTGCAAGCAATGGACTCCTGGCTCCGCTGCATGGCCTTGACCCCATTATAAGCCGAGGGAGGATTTTTCAGCCCATAAAAAGGTCTGAAAAACTCGGTTTATCTTTCAAGTATATACGGTACTCACGTATGCATGTTTTCAAACTGCTAGGTTGGCAGGAACTAGAGCGAACAGCGGGAGCTCACCCCATCCTGCCAACCTTCATGTCAGCAGTTCAGCAGCACAAGGATTCAACCCATTGCACCATTGTGGTTCTTTATACAAGAGTATATACATTACTTAGGGTGCTTGTAACAACTTACCGATGACAGCATTGGAGATGGTAATTTTTAACCACATCCTGTCTCGGATTTCAAGGCCGGAATCGGGTAACTGCATAACCTTGACAATGGTAGCCATATCGCTTTTGACCGTCAAGGGGGTTTCGTCTAGTTCTGAAATAGGACAAAAATATTGGGAAAATAATTTCATGTAAGGCGGAAAACGGAGACAGAAACCGTAACCCACGCCACACCAGAACCATTCTCATCCATAACATGCAGTTTACTCACAAAGGCTCCAGAAATAGGTCCGCAAACCACTGTATTGCCAACGATGCTCTGTGACAAACCTTTGGCACTGGCTGGAAGCTAGCTTGGTTAGTAGCAAGAAAAGCAACATGTGGGTTTTTGGTTGAGAGATGTTTGAATTTAAATATTTGGGGGAACAATAGACCAAATGATCAGCCACTGCCGGAAGAGACAGAGAGGTTCATCTATGCTGATGATCGTGCCATCACCACCCAAATAAGGAGCTTTGAAACGGTTGAACAGAAGCTCTCCGAAGCTTTAGGTGCTCTGACTGCCTATTACAAGGAAAACCAGCTTGCTCCATCAATGTTTAACATTGACACAAATGACCAGCCACTGTCAGAAGGGACAGAGAGTTTCATCTATGCTGACGATCATGCCATCACCACTCAAGCAGGGAGTTTTGAGATGGTTGAAGAGAAGCTCTCCAAAGCTTGCTCCATCAATGTTTAACATTTACACAAATGATCAGCCACTGTCAGAAGGGACAGAGAGTTTCATCTATGCTGACGATCGTGTCATCACCGCTCAAGCAGTAAGCTTTGAAATGGTTGAACAGAAGCTCTCCGAAGCTTTAGGTGCTCTTACTGCCCATTACAAGGAAAACCAGCTTGCACCACCAAAGTGTAACATTTACACAAATGATCACCACTGCCAGAAGGGACAGAGAGTTTCATCTATGCTGACGATCATACCATCACCGCCCAAGGAGAGAACTTTGAAATGGTTGAACTGAAGCTCTCCAAAGCTTTAGATGCTCTTGCTGCCTATTACAGGGAAAATCATCTGATTCCTAATCCATCTAAAACACAGATGTGTGCTTTTCATCTTAAGAACAGAGAAGCATCTCGAGCTCTGAGGATCACCTGGGAAGGAATCCCACTGGAGCATTGCAGCACACCCAAATACCTGGGAGTCACTTTGGACCGTGCTCTGACTTATAAGAAGCACTGCTTGAATATAAAGCAAAAAGTGAGTACTGGAAACAACACTGAACAAAATCTACTACAAAACAGGAGCTTTTTTGTTGAGTTCCAGAGTCAGAGAAGCAGATGGCAAAAACAGAATGACCTGCCTCAGGAAACCATGTTTGCTCCATCAATGATTAACATTTACACAAATGACCAGCCACTGGCAGAAGGGAGGGAGTTTCATCTATGCTGACGATCATGCCATCACCGCCCAAGCAGGGAGCTTTGAAACAATTGAACAGAAGCTCTCCAAAGCTTTAGGTGCCCTTTCTGCCTATTACAGGGAAATCCAGCTTCACCATCAATGTTTAATATTGACACAAATGACCAGGCACCGGCAGAAGGGACGGAGAGTTTCATCTATGCTGATGATCACGCCATCACTGCCCAAGTAGGAAGCTTTGAAATGATTGAACAGAAGCTCTCCAAAGCTTTAGGTGCTCTTTCTGCCTATTACAGGGAAATGTAACTGATTCCTAATCCATCTAAAATGCAGACGTTTGCTTTTCACCGTAAGAACATACAAGCATATCGAGCTTTGAGGATGACCTGGGAAGGAATCCCACTGGAGCATTGCAGCACACGCAAATACCTGGGAGTCACTCTGGACCGTGCTCTTGTTTACAAGAAGCACTGCTTGAGTATCAAGCAAAAAGTGGGTGTCAGAAATAATATCATACAAAAGGTGCCTGGCACAACCTGGGGGTCACAAGCAGACACAGTGAAGACATCTGCCCTGGCGCTTTGCTATTTTGCTGCTCTGACTTAAGCAATTAAGGGGGGGAAAGGAAAGGGCTTGAGGTTTTTAGGAATTGTGGGAGTTGATGTCAAAAACACCTGGAGGACTGAAGCTCGCCTGGGCTAGACAGCCAACTCTTGGGAATGCTTCGATTGAATTTTCCTGTATGATGTAATGAGGTTGGACTGGATTGTCCTTGGCATCTCTTCCAACTCTTATTGACCAGAGTGGTGGTTCTCCAATAAAAAGATGTAGGAAAAAGGGAGAGGAAGCCCCAAATTATGAAAGCAATTATTTTTGGATGCTGCTATTTTTTATTTTCTGAACATAACACCATTTTGGGGGGTTTGGTTGTGTGTTTTTGTGGGTTTGTTTAGCTCTACACTGCCAGCCCTGTGCAGGAAGAAGGCCTGCCCGGTGCCTGGCGGCAGTGTGACTTACTTTCCGAATCAGGAATTGAGCTTGTTAGTGAGGAGCTGGTAGAGGTGATGGTGCTCATGGAGGGGCTCATACCGTAACGGGGGTACGCTCCCGTCAGGGCCGTGGTATGAGAGATCCAAGCCGCCGGGTCGATCGGCCGAACGGGTTCAGCTGCAGAAGGAGAAGAGAGAGACGCCGAGGGAAGGGAAAGAAGGAGACAGAGACAAAGCCGTGTTAGCGACATATCCCAGGGAGGCAGAAGCGGCGCATCACATGTTTTGAATCTGACTCAGCACATAGAAGATGGTTTTGAAAGGCAGCAGATTACAGGAGCTGTCTTCATAGACCTGTCACTTTAAATGACACTTTAAATCATCACCTTCTCCTGAGAAACAATTTGTAATATCACACCTACTTCATAGGAAATCTGATACAAAACAGGAGCTTTTTTGTTTAGTTCCAGGGCCAGAGAAGCAGAAAAATGGCCTGCCTCAGTGGAGCGTGCTTGCTCCATCCATGTTTAACATGTCCACAAATGACCAGCCACTGCCAGAAGGGACCGAGAGTTTAATCTATGCTGACGATCGTGCCATCACCACTCAGTTACGGAGCTTTGAAATGTTTGAACAGAAGCTCGCCGAAGCTTTAGGTGCTCTTACTGCCTATCACAGGGAAAACTAGCTTGCTCTGTCAATGTTTAACATTTACACAAATGACCTGCCACTGCCAGAAGGGACTGAGAGTTTGATCTATGCTGATGATCGTGCCACCACCGCTCAATCAGGGAGCTTTGAAATGTTTGAACAGAAGCGCACTGAAGCTTTAGGTGCTCTTACTGCCTATCATGGGGAAAACTAGCTTGCTCTGTCAATGTTTAACATTTACACGAATGACCCCCCACTGCCAGAAGGGACAGAGTTTTATCTACACTGATGATCGTGCCATCACCACTCAATCAGGGAGCTTTGAAATGTTTGAAAAGAAGCTCGCCGAAGCTTTAGGTGCTCTTACTGCCTATCACAGGAAAAACTACCTTGATCCGTCAATGTTTAACATTTACATGAATGACCCGCCACGGCCAGAAGGGACCAAGAGTTTAATCTATGCTGATGATTGTGCCATCACCGCTCAATCAGGGAGCTTTGAAATGTTTGAACAGAAGCTCACTGAAGCTTTAGGTGCTCTTACTGCCTATTACAGGGACAACTAGCTTGCTCTGTCAATGTTTAACATTTACACGAATGACCAACCACTGCCAGAAGGGACAGAGTTTTATCTACGCTGACGATCATGCCATCACCGCTCAAGCAGAGAGCTTTGAAATGGTTGAACAGAAACTCTCCAAAGCTCAGTTTAATGCAAGTGAAGGGGGTGCAAGGCATATGTTTCTGATCATTGATGATTTTAGTCGTTGTTCTTCCGGAAGAGGAAGACCCAGGTCTATATCATCTGCAGTGGTGGCCAAGTTGGTGAGTTTACTGCCAAACTGAGAAGAATACTATTACAGGGAAAACCAGATGATTCCTAATCCTGAATACCAAAAGCACTTGCAGCTGGCCGATCACTCACCTCTGGGGATGGTGAAATAGCTCCTGGGCGTTGGATCCCAACATTTGGCCACTGTTAGGCTGATGGGACTGGAAGCGAAAAGGAAGAGGGGAAAATTATGTTGACGACTGTCTACCACATTCCCCATTGATCCACATGAATGCAAACATATAAAACAAGGGCCGGGATTTTGCTACGTAAAGTAGCTCTTAACCTCTTAGTACAATTTCACCAATAGTCAGACCTTGTGGCTTCCGCTTTCCGCAAATGGCAGGAGTGGGTGCATGGTTTATATTTTCTTGTTCCACTCACAGATAAAGGTACATTAAGTCTAGTCGTGTCCGACTCTGCAGGATGGTGCTCATCTCCATTTCTAAGCCAAAGAGCTGGCATTGTCCGTAGACACCTCCAACGTCATGCGGCCGGCATGATTGCATGAAGCGCACTTTACCTTCCCATCAGAGCAGTACCTATTGATCTACTCATATTTGCATGTTTTTGAACTGTTAGGTTGGCAGAAGCTGGGGCTAACAACAGGAGCTCACCCTGCTCCCTGGATTCGAACCTGCGACCTTTTGGTCAGCAAGTTCAGCAGCTCAGCAGTTTAACCCGCTGCACCTTCAGGGGCTTCTAAGGTATTTTACGGCACCATAAAAAAGGAAATAAAGTGTTCCCTCACTTATCGTGGGTGTTACATTCCAGAATCACCCGCGAAAAGTGAAAATCCGCAAAGTAGGGACGCTATGTATGTATATGTGTGTATATATATACGCACACAATCTCATGTCGGCAAGTAGCGTCTCAAGCGGCCACTGCGCAAGTCCTACTTTCGGTTTTGGTGTGTATTCATCCACTGAGTAAATACGCGATTTTCTGTAAATCGTATTTTTTAAAATTATTTCTAATATTTTTTTAGTGTTAGAATTAATACTTTTTAAATATATTTTTATACATTTTGTGATTTTTTAAAACGTGATTTTTTTAAAAACCCACGAAACAGCAAGTACACGAAAAGCAAACCGCGAAGGAGCAAGGGAACACTGTACCAGAAAAATGCCAGCGATCAAAGAAAGGAGGAAGGAGGAAGTCAGTGATCAAGGCTCGTTGTCATACAGGATGGAGCGACAGCACCCCCCTGTGGCCGGTATTAAGCAAAACCTCCAGCACGCCGAAGTTGGGAGAAATGCCGACGTATATCTCTATCTGTTGTCTATCCTGTCTGTTTAACGGCATTGAATGTTTGCCGTGTATGTGTTCTGTGATCCGCCCTGAGTATTGTAGTTCAGCCTGTGATTGTGTCTGATGTGCCTGGTGTTCCTGATGAAACTGGGGATGAAGGGTTTTCTGGGCCTGGGTCTGTTGGCAATGGGAATGTGGGTTTGCCTGAGCCTGAGTTAAGTTCCAATGAGAGGCCTGAGCTGTCTCAGGAAGATTCACAAGGCCACATTCCTGGGAGAGGCCCTTGATGGTCTTTATTTATTTATTTATTTATTTTATTTTATACACTTGTATACCGCTAATATCTCAGCCTAAGTCGGCGACTCATTGCGGTTTACAACCATTAAAAACAATATACAATTTAAAACAACAACACATAGACAATACAAATTATTGGGCCACCAATAATAATACCATGCATCTCGTCAATAAAATCACAATCCAGAATTCGTCATCCATAATTAACCAGTCCTTAGTCAGCAAAATTCGGTGGTGACAGACTAACCGAATGCTTGTTTAAATAACCATGTTTTTAGTGTCTTCCGAAAGGCCATCAGCGAAGAGGCTGATCGTATCTCTATAGGGAGGGTGTTCCAAAGCCGAGGGGCCACCACAGAAAAGGCCCTGTCTCTCGTTCCCACCAGCCGCGCTTGGGAAGCCGGTGGGATAGAGAGCAGGGACTCTCCAGAAGATCTTAGGGTCCTGGTGGGCTGATAGGCTGAGATACGTTCGGATAGATAAGTTGGGCCAGAACCGTTTAGGGCTTTAAAGGCCAAAACCAGCACTTTGAATTGAGCCCGGTAGCATATCGGCAGCCAGTGGAGCTGGTACAGCAAAGGAGTTGTATGCTCCCAGCGCCCTGCTCCTGTTAGTACCATGGCTGCCGCCCGTTGGACTAGTTGGAGCTTCCGGACTGTCTTCAAAGGCAACCCCACGTAGAGAGCGTTGCAGTAATCAAGGCGGGATGTAACCAGAGCGTGGACTACCGTGGCTAAGTCAGACTTCCCAAGGTACGGTCGCAGTTGGCGCACAAGTTTTAATTGTGCGAAAGCTCCCCTGGTCACCGCCGAAACCTGGGGTTCCAGGCTCAGCGATGAGTCCAGGATCACACCCAAACTGCGAACCTGTGTCTTCAGGGGGAGTGCGACCCCGTCTAACACAGGCTGTAACCCTATACCCTGTTCGGCCTTACGACTAACCAGGAGTACCTCTGTCTTGTCTGGATTCAATTTCAATTTGTTCGCCCCCATCCAGACCGTCACAGCGGCCAAGCACCGGTTCAGGACCTCGACAGCCTCCTTAGTAGCAGATGGGAAGGAGTGACAGAGCTGGACATCATCTGCGTACAGATGACATCTCACTCCGAAACTCCGGATGATCTCGCCCAGCGGCTTCATGTAGATGTTAAACAACATGGGAGACAGTATTGAACCCTGAGGAACCCCACAAGACAAAGGTTGTGGGTTTGAACAGGAGTCTCCCAGTAACACCTTCTGAGACCGACCCTCGAGGAATGAGTGGAGCCACTGCAGAACAGTACCTCCCAACCCCATTCCCGTGAGGCGTCCCAGAAGGATACCGTGGTCGACGGTATCGAAGGCCGCTGAGAGGTCGAGCAGCACCAACAGGGACACACTCCCCCTGTCGAGCTCCCGACGCAGATCATCCACTAAGGCGACCAAGGCTGTCTCGGTACCATGCCCCAGCCTAAAGCCAGACTGTGCCGGATCCAGATAATCCGTGTCTACCAAGAATGCCTGGAGTTGTGAGGCCACCACACGTTCCAGGACTTTGCCCAAAAAGGGGAGATTGGAAACAGGCCAATAGTTGACGAATTGAGTGGGGTCCAGTGATGGTTTTTCAACAGCGGTTTTATTACAGCTTGTTTTAAGCTGGCTGGAATGTTGCCCTCCCGAAAGGGAGGCATTAACCACCACCTTCACCCACTCGGCCAATCCCCCTCTGGCTCCTTTAGAAGCCAGGATGGGCAGGGGTCTAGGATGCATGTGGTAGCTCTCATTCCTCCAAGCACCTTGTCCACATCCTCGGATTGAACCAATTGAAATGAATCCATCAAAACCGGACAAGCAGATGCTCGTGTTACATCCTCAGATGCAACTGTCTGAAGATGATTTGTCAGGTGCAGAAGTCAATGAGAGTCAAATTAATGAGAGTGTAGAAAGTAAAGCTTTTGTAAACAGAGACAGAGTGCTCAGGTGCAAAGAAGATCAGTTCATTTGCAAGAAAAGAGAGATAAGTAACCCTTATCTGGTGGGAAGGTCAAGAGAAATGCTTTCCTTTCGATTCTGGGATCTGGAAAGGTTTTATATTCAAGGGAAAAGAGTCGCCTCAATCGGGTCAATGTTGGAATTTCATTACGGTCTTGCTTTCAAGTGTTCTTAGTTTCATGTACCAAGTTTTTGCCAAGCTCCTGATGTATGTATTGGATTTTTCATGCTGCCTTGTTTCATGGATTGTTGTGCCTCGTTTCATGGATTTTTGTACCTAAGGAACTTGTTTTGTCTTGAAGCTCATGGACTATCCTAAGTTTTGCTAATTTTACTGCCTTTGTCTACATATATTCTTCAATTAACTGCTTGCTGATTTTACCAAGCTGGTGTGGTATTTAAGGCCAGAGGTGTTCCTGTTCTGGTGTACAACACTGAGTCCCCTTCAGGATGAGAAGGGCGGAATATAAATACTGTAAATAAATACATAAATAAATAAGAACCCTCCGAAGCCATCTCTTACCCCGGCTTGGAGACAATTTCTCTCAAGACCCGCACTGCGTCGTCATTGCTCATGTTCTCAAAGTTGACCTCGTTCACCTGGAATGCACCACAGATGAGTTGGTACCTCCAAGGCCACTCCCAGAAGGAACAGGCATTTGCAGACACAGAAAAAGCTTGTGAAAAGCTAGAAAGGGCTCACTCACCTGTAACAACATGTCCCCTGGTTCAATCCGTCCATCGGCGGCCACGGCACCACCCTTCATGATGGAGCCAATGTAGATGCCTCCATCGCCCCGGTCGTTGCTCTGGCCGACGATGCTGATCCCCAGGAAGTTGTATTTTTCTGAAACAAGGGGAAGAAGGATAAGAGGCTGATTAGCATTACAGTCATCCCTCCGCATTTGAAGGTTTGGCTTTTCAGACTTGATTATTCACGGATTGTATTAATATGTTTTCCCTTCGATCCTTGAGGTCCTCCAGCACAATGTTGCAATCCAGAGAGTTTCAGCTATGCTGACGATCGTGCCATCACCACTCAAGCAGGGAGCTTTGAAATGGCTGAAGCTTTACTGTCTATTTCAGGGAAGATCAGCTTCCACCATCAATGTTTAACATTTACACAAATGATCAGACACTGCCAGAAGGGTCAGAGAGTTTCATCCATGCTGACGATCATGCCATCACCACTCAAGCAGGGAGCTTTGAAATGGTTGAATAGAAGCTCTCCAAAGCTTTAGGTGCTCTTACTGTCTATTACAGGGAAGGCCAGCTTCACCATCAATTTTAACATTTACACAAATGATCAACTGCTGCCAGAAGGGACAGAGAGTTTCATCTATGCTGACGATTGTGCCATCACCACCCAAGCAGGGAGCTTTGAAATGGCTGAAGCTTTAGGTGCTCTTACTGTCTATTTCAGGGAAGATCAGCTTCTCCATCAATGTTTAACATTTACACAAATGATCAGACACTGCCAGAAGGGTCAGAGAGTTTCATCTATGCTGACGATCGTGCCATCACCACTCAAGCAGGGAGCTTTGAAATAGTTGAACAGAAGCTCTCCAAAGCTTTAGGGGCTCTTACTGCCTATTACAGGGAAGACTAGCTTCACCATCAATGTTTAACATTTACACAAATGATCAGACATTGTCAGAAGGGACAGAGAGTTTCATCTATGCTGACGATCGTGCCATCACTGCTCAAACAGGGAGCTTTGAAATGGTTGAGCAAAAGCCCTCCGAAGCTTTAGGAGATGACAAGGCTGTATCAACACTGTCGAATGAATGCAGTTTGGCACCACCTGAGCAGTCATGATATAAGCAACGTTCTCTTACCCATGTTGAGTGTGACAGTGATGATGTTCAGGGACATGGTGGAGTCCGTGATGCTGCTGAAGGAGGACGACTGCAATGTGCAAACACAAAACGAGAGGCTGTTCAGAGTCCATTGCCGAAAGAATCGGACGAGCCAAGAGATGGCTACTGTGGTGAAGTGTGGATTTTAACCTACTGTCATGTAAAATTATAGGTAGGTGTTTAAAGGGGTAAGTATTTAAAATAGCATAACTGGGGGGATGGTAGCCAGCTCGGCTCACTTTGAGATGGGTTGCCATGGAAAAAGGAGAGGAGCCAACTGTCACTTGGCAAGAGCAGGCATTTTAAATAGTCAGTCTGTGGTCAGAGAACTGCAGGGAAAGCTGGTTCTACTGTGTTGAGAACCAGGAAGGTTTAGGGTTTTAGCCTGTGTAGTTTAGATACGTCAAGTAGACTTATTTAGATTAGTAGGATTTGAGTAAAAAGGGGAAGAGAACCTCAGTAAGAATCTTTACTGTAACAGAGATAACAGAGGGAAAGAATAGGCTAGTACTTGGAGTGATCTGTTAAGGAAAGAAACACATTTTGAAGGAAATAAGTTTAAAACCTGTCTAGTGGAAAGAACAGTCCTCTTAAGAGTTGTTTTATGAAAGGTTATAAATGTAACCACTAAAGGAATGTACCTCTAGGAGTTAAGAAACATTGAAACCATTAAGCTTCTATACTTCAAAAATCTTATTTCAGTTCTCTTAAATCTAAGCCTCTGTTTCATATACTTTCGAGTCAAGCCGCGCTACATATCAAAGGAGGATAAACAAAATATTACAGGCTAGTGGCTGTGTTATCAATTTTGAAGATTCATTACAAATTGTAGGAGACCCTGACAAGTCAGTAACGTCCCTACAGCTTGTGGCTTCATTACAGCTACATACAGCATATTCCAGGCTATTTGACTGAGCAGACCATGATGTTCAGTTTTCGAACTGCTATGTTGGCAGGAGCTGGGGCTATCAGCAGGAGCTCATCCCGTCCCACAGATTTGAACCACCAACCTTTTGGTCAGCAAATTCAGAGGCTCAGCTATTTAACCTGCTGCACCACCACAGCCCCATTCGTGGTCACACAATATATTTGCAGTTCACACAATAAAGACCACAATGTATGGATCTTTTAGTCTGAGAAAACTATATCTCCCAAAGCCCCTCTGCACATTATTTTTAAACATAAGCACATTTTGCAGCTCACAGTCTGTGATCGGACCGAAAGCATGAGAACGATGGCAGCGTACCCTGTCAATCTGCCGCATCTTCTGTTTCCTCCGCCGGCGTTTGTGCTTCCGGATGAGACGGGACGAAGTGCTTTGTTCCGTGGAGCTACTCAACCTGAAAAGGAAGGCGAGAAAAAAAATCACAGCATAATTTATTTTATCACACGTCTCTGGATGTAAGTGAACTAGAACTTCCAGAAAGGAAAGTCAGCTCCTCCGAAACCCCTCCAGTATTTTCAGTTGGTCATGGTGGTTCTGTGTGCCAAATGAGGTCCAGGGCCATCATTGGTGGCCCTTTGATTGCAAGTGAACTATAAATCCCAGTACCTACAACGGCTATAAATGAAGGTGAATCCCCCCCAGACCTCTCCAGTATTTTTCTTTGGTCATGGGGGTTCTGTGTGCCAAATGTGGTCCGGGTCTATTGTTAGTGAGGGTCAGAGTGCTCTGACTTGGTGCAGGGTGAACTACAACTTCCGTCATGTGGAGTCAATCCCCCAAAACTCTTCCAGTAGGTTTTGTTGCTGATTAGTTGTGCAGACAAGAGTTGAAAAGCGCAGGAAAGGGTTAAGGGAGAGGCAGCGGGTGGGGTCATGCAAATTGCACACCAATGGAGAGAGTAAGAAACACTGGGATGCCTGTGGTGGAGGAAACCCGTAAAATCTAGGAGGAAATTGTCCCCGTATGAAATTCTTCATATGGGTGATGGGCAGTATGGTGTTGGTGGAGGACACTGGCAGGGGTCTTGGACATGTTCATGATGCCAACAATGGAGAGAGTAAGAAACACTGGGATGTCTGTGGTGGAGGAAACATGTAAAATCAAGGAGGAAATTGTCCCCATATGGTGATGGGCAGTATGGTGTTGAAGGAGGACATTGGCAGGGTTCTTGGACACATTCATGGTGCCACCAATGGAGAGAATCTGAAACACTAGGATGTCTGTGGTGGAGGAAACACATTACATCTAGGATGAAATACTCCCAGTACGAAAGCCTTCACTTGGGTGGTGGGCAACGGAGAGAGTCAGAAACACTGGGATGTCTGTGGTGGAGGAAACACATAAAATCTAGGATGAAATTGTCCCCATATGGGTGATGGGAAGTATGGTGCCACCAATGGAGAGAGTCAGAAACACTAGGATGTCTGTGGTGGAGGAAACACATAACACCAAGGAGAAATGGTCCTAGTATGAAAGTCTTCACTTGGATGGTGGGCAATGGAGAGAGTAAGAAACACTGAGATGCCTGTGGTGGAGGAAACACGTAAAATCTAGGATGAAATTGTCCCCATATGGGTGATGGGAAGTATGGTGCCACCAATGGAGAGATTCAGAAACACTAGGATGTCTGTGGTGGAGGAAACACATAACACCAAGGAGAAATGGTCCTAGTATGAAAGCCTTCACTTGGTGGTGGGCAATGGAGAAAGTAAAAAACACTGAGATGCCTGGGGTGGAGGAAACACGTAAAATCTAGGATGAAATTGTCCCCATATGGGTGATGGGAAGTATGGTGCCACCAATGGAGAGAGTCAGAAACACTAGGATGTCTGTGGTGGAGGAAACACATAACACCAAGGAGAAATGGTCATAGTATGAAAGTCTTCACTTGGTGGTGGGCAATGGAGAGAGTAAGAAACACTGAGATGCCTGTGGTGGAGGAAACATGTAAAATCTAGGAGGAAACTGTCCCCATATGGGTGATGGGCAGTATGATGTTGGAGGAGGACATTGGCAAGGCTCTTGGACATGTTCATGGTCCCACCAATGGAGAGAATCAGAAACACTAGGATGTCTGTGGTGGAGGAAACGCATAACATCTAGGATGAAATGATCCTAGTATTAAAGCCTTCACTTGGGTGGTGGGCAATGGAGAGAGTAAGAAACACTGGGATGTCTGTGGTGGAGGAAACACATACAAATCTAGGAGGAAATTGTCAGTTGCTTTTCTGTCTTTTTCGCATTTTACTCTAGCTTTTCTGTCTTTTTCACATCTTACGAAATGGCTCCATACCTGCTTGTGTTTTCATCATCGTCCGAGTCGACGAAGCTGCTGGACTCCAGCTCGCTGCTCATGACGGTGGAGGAACTGTCGTAGCCTGGCGGGTGCTCTCGGTGCCTCTCGAGCTTTGTGTGCCCATTGATGCGGGAGACTGCAGGGAGGAAAGGAAAGCACTGGGATGAGAGGCAGTGGGAGCTCAGCGGTGGTAGGCAGGACAATGGGGAGCCAGCTGGGTTGGGGAGTTTGCTCACAAGACCTTCTCCAGACACACAGAGAGATCGATGTTTCCATCCAAATTCTCCCCTGAACTTCCCTGGGACAAACTTGGACTGATGTTCTTTCTTAAGGCAACTCGCAAGGCCATAACAATTGAAATGTGATAAGAAAACATACTTAGGTGATTAACCGGCTGTGCTAAAGCCGGGCCCTCTTGGCATCTAATTTAGGCAGACTCAGAGTGTAATCACATATAGTAGGATCTCGCTTATCCGACCTTCGCTTACCCGACATTCTGTCTTATCCGACGCTCCCCTTTTCCTCCAGTATTTCCCCTTCAGTTAAAGGAGCGCTCCCCAACTCTCTCCACATTCCTAATACAGTAGAGTCCCGCTTATCCGACCATCGCTTATCCGACATCCATCTTATCCAACGCTCCCCTTTTCTTCCAACTTTTCCCCTTCAATTAAAGGAGCGCTCCCCAACTATCTCTCCATTCCCAAGATAGATAGATAGATAGATAGATACAGTAGGGTATCGCTCATCTGACCTTTGCTTATCTGACATTCCGTCTATTTTACACTCTTATGCGATGCTCCCCCTTTCCTCCAGCATTTTCCCTTCAATTAAAGGAGTGCTCCCCAACTCTCTCTCTATTCCCAAGATAGATAGACAGGTAGATAGATAGATAGATAGATAGGGTAGAGTCTCACTTATCCGACCTTCGCTTATCCGGCATCCGTGTTATCCAACGCTCCCCCTTTCCTCCAACATTTCCCCTTCAATTAAAGGAGTGCTCCCAACTCTCTCTCCATTCCCAATACAGTAGAGTCTTGCTTATCCAACCTTCGCTTATCCAACATTCCGGCTTATCCGAAGACCTCCTTTTCCTCCAGTATTCCCCCTTCAGTTAAAGGAGTGCTCCCCAACTCTCTCTCCATTCCCAAGATAGATGGATAGATAGATAGATAGATAGATAGATAGATAGATAGATAGAAGGGTCTCGCTCATCCGACCTTTGCTTATCCTACATTCTGTCTTATTTGACACTTTTATCCGATGCTCCCCCTTTCCTCCAGCATTTCCCCATCAATTAAAGCAGTGCTTCCCAACTCTCTCTCCATTCCCAAGATAAATAGATAGATACATAGATACATAGATGCATAGATACATAGATAGATAGAGTAGTCTCACTTATCCGACCTTTGCTTATCCGACATCTGTCTTATCCAACGCTCCCCTTTTCCTCCAACATTTCCCCTTCAATTAAAGGAGTGCTCCCCAACTCTCTCTCCATTCCCGATACAGTAGAGTCTCGCTTATCTGACCTTCGCTTATCCGACATTCCATCTTATCTGATGCCCCCTTTTCCTCCAGCATTTTCCCTTCAGTTAAAGGAGCACTCCCCAACTCTCTCTCCATTCCCAATACAGTAGAGTCTCACTTATCCGACCTTCGCTTATCCGACATTCTGTCTTATCCAAAGACCCCATATTCCCCCTTCAATTAAAGGAGAACTCCCAACTCTCTATCCATTCCCAATACAGTAGAGTCTCGCTTATCCAACCTTCGCTTATCCGACATCCGTCTTATCTGACGCGCTTCTTTTCCTCCAGCATTTCCCCTTCCATTGGAGGAGCACTCCCCAACTCTCTCTCCATTCCCAATAAGTGAAAAAGGCAAGACAACGAGGAGGAAGAGGGAGGAGGAAAGGGGGGAAAGAGGCAGGACCAGAAACGGAAGCGTCCTCCCTCCTTCCCTCTGTGATTTCTACGCTCCACTTCCGTATCTGGGCACTTCCATCTGGGCCTCTCTAGTCCCGGGGCGTTGCCTTGCCTTAACTCTTTGACTCCCTGTTGTTAGTATTACAGGCGGATGGGTAACAGTCGAAGACACCGTATTATCTGAAGGAATTGTATTAAGGGGTTGCGACATTAGGAAGGTTGCAAAACTGCATTAGGGGCGAGTATGACAAGGCTTCCACGTGATACCCGATACATACAGAGATATACAGGCGGCGGGTCTTCGGGGTAGCACTTGATTGGTTCCAGCGGCCTCAAAAGGCGATGCCTCCAAGGGCTTAGGGACTTCCTGTTGCGGCTCGCTATCCACGGGGAGCAAATGGGCAGCCGTTGGGGCTCCCTGCGCTCTCTGCCCCGTGGCATTCGTCCTTGACACAAGCACCCCAACAGCGATGAAGTGGCCATTTTGGGGCCTCCCCTGAATTTCCAAAAAGAACGTGAAGAAACCAAACACCCGCAGATGATTACGTCGAGACGCAATTGGCGGAAGGCGAGAAGAACCAGGAATGTCGAAACGAAGGACGACACATACACAATCAGCTCTCCGGCTGCAACATTATACAAAATTTCGGGGTGGAAACGAATGGCCTTTGTGGTCTCTACGAAATCATAGAGATGAGGGGAACGGTTGGCTTCTTCCGTCGCGAAAAAACTCTACGGAGTTATTTTGCTCTAATCTCACAATCTCGCAATCCGCCACCACAACAAAAGCTGCAGAAAATAAAACATGAATGGTTAGCATCTTCGTTATGGGTTCCCGGTTCTCTCCAACCCCAAACGAACGCAGGCAACGCTCTGACTATGTCTCTTGAAGGCAGGATGAGGAAGAATCTCTATTTTTTTTTAATATCAGAGTCATCTTTAGCAACACTCGAATCCTTTTAAAGGCGGAGAAGAGGGTGGAAAAAGAAGAAGGATCACCAAACGTACGGGATAAACTCTCTTAGTCCGTAAGCCATGGCGAATTCGCGTGATTGCTTTTGACCCCCAATAGCAGATTACAGCGATGGGAGAGGATTGGTCAAATGTCTGTATTCCCCACAATAATTGAGGGATAAAGACTAAGGCCCAGATATGTCTGAAAAGCAGACAATCGACCTCGCAACCTCTGAGGATGCAGGCGAAACATCAGGAGGGAATGCTTCTAGAACATGGCCATATAGCCCGACAAACCTACAACAACCCAGACAATTTCTGCTACCTAAGGTGGAGGTTGAGTTCTGCCTAATGTTAGGGCCACGTCAATAAAAGCAAAAGCAAATTGCTCCATCAACTCCACGGAGTTCAACTGCCTAACCACACAGAGCAGGCAGGGGCAAACTTTCTAACTTGGGGCCACATGCTCGCGCTCCCTACTAGGACGACTGGCTGCCCGGTGATGAGAGGAAGGAAGGGAAGGAAGAAGGAAGGAAAGAGAGAAGGAAGGAAGGACAAAAGGGTGGAAGGGAAGGAAAGATGGAAGGAAGAGGAGAGGAGGAAGGAAGGAGGGAGGAAAAAGGGAAGGAAGGAAGAAGAGAAGGAAGGAAGGAAAGGAAGGAAGGAAGGAAGGAAGGAAGGAGAGAGGAGAGAGGGAAGGAGGAAAGAAAGAGAAAGGAGAGGGAAGAAGGAAGGAGAAAGGAAAGGAAGGAAAGACAAAGTGGAAGGAATGATGGAAGAAGAAAGAGGGAGAGAGGGAAGGAGGGAGGAAAAAAGGGAAGGAAGGAAAGACAGAGAAGGGGAAGAAAGAAAGAAGGAAGGGAAGAGGGGAGAGGAAGGAGAAAGAAGGAAAAGGAAGGGAGGGAGGGGGAGGGAGGAAGAAGGGAAGGAAGGAGAAGGGAGAGAGAAGGAAGAGAGGAAGGAAGGACAAAAGGGTGGAAGGAATGATGGAAGAGAAAGGAGAGAGGGAAGGAGGGAGGAAAAGGGAAGGAAGGAAAGAAGGAGAAGGAAGGAAGAAAGGAAAGAGGAAGGGGAAAGAGGGGGAAGAGGGAAGAGGAAGAAAGGAAAGGAGAGAGGAGGGAGGGAGGGAAGGAAGGAAGGAAGGAAGGAAGGAAGGAAGGAAGGAGAAGGGAGAGAGAAGGAAGAGAGAAGGAAGGAAGGACAAAAGGGTGGAAGGAATGATGGAAGAAGAAAGAGGGAGAGAGGGAAGGAGGGAGGAAAAAGTGAAGGAAGGAAAAGAGAAGAAAGGAAGGAGGAAGAGGGAGTGAGGGAAGGAGGAAAGAAAGAGAAAAGTGAGGGAGGGAGGGAGTGGGGAAGAGAGAAGGAAGGAAGGGCGAAAAGGTGGAAGGAAGGAATGATGGAAGAAGAAAGAGAGAGGAAAGGAGGGAAGAAAGACAGAAGGAAGGAAAGACAAAAGGAAGGAAGGAAGGTAGGGAAGGAGGAGGAGGGAGGAAAGAGGGAAGGAAAGACAAAAGGAAAGGGAAGGGGGAAGAGAAAGATAAGGAAGAAAGGACAAAAGGGAGGAAGGGAAGGATGGAAAGAGAAAGAGAGAGAGGGGGAAGGAGGAAAGGGAAGGAAAGACAAAATGGAAGGGAGGGGGGAAGGATGGAAGGAGAAAGAAGGAGGGAGGGAAGGAGGGTAGGACTAAAGTGTGGAAGGGAAGGATGGAAGGAGAAAGAGGGAGGGAAGGAGGGAGAAAAGATAGAAGGAAGGAAAGAAAAAAGGGATGGAAGGATGGAAGGACGAAAGGGTGGAAAGGAAGGATGGACGGAGAAAGGGAGGAAAGGATGAAAGGGTGGAAGGGAAGGAGGAAGGGAACGGAGAGAGGGAGGAAAGCGAGAAGGAAGGAAAGACAAAAAGGAAGGAACGGTGAAGGTAGGAAAAAGGGAGAAAGAGAAGGAAGGAAGGAAGGAAGGAGGAGGAAGGAAGGAAGAAGGAAGGAAGGAAGGACGAAAGAGTGGAAGGGAAGGAAGGAGGGAAGCTAGGGAAGGAGGGAAGGAAGGCGAGAGAGGAGGAAGGAAGGACGAAAGGGTGGAAGGGAAGGAGAAAGAGGAAAGAGAAAAGGAAGGATAGGAAGGTGTGAGAGAGGAGGGCCTGAGAAAAGAGTCCAGTGAGCCGCATCTGGCCCTCGGGCCTGAGTTTGCTCGTACCTGACATAGATGTGAAAGAGCCAGCCCGTGACTAGATGGTCTTTGTGATCCCATCCAAATGTGTCTGA